CCTGCGCTGTGCCCCATCATGTGACAGGTATGGGGCCCACGTGCCTTGAGAGCTCAGGGCTCACCAGCCTTTAGGGCCCATTGCCCTGCACAGCCTGTCCAATGGGCTCTGCCCAACAGGCAGAGAGGTCCAGGAGCCTTGGGCCCCTCTGTTTCTCCAGGCTGCTGCCAATGTTCCCTCCCTGCCCCTCAGGGCACTGGGGCTTTGTCACTTGGGCTCCCACAGCTGCATAGGTCATGGTGCTATGACTGAGACACCCCTGATACAGAGCTCTGATCCCACAGAGCTGCTGCAATGATGTGGAGAACTATCGCCTCGTCGGGACCAACAATGGAGAAGGTGCTGGCAACACTGCTCTGTGTGATGGAGGATTGGCCTCTGCACAGCATGTGCACCTCCGATGGGGACAACAAGACTGTTTTTTCCCTGGCTGTGAGTTTATGGGCCCTTGCTCAGTCCCAGATCACCTCTCCAGCAGCTCTCCACCCTCTCCCTGCCTCTGCGAGTGCTGGGCTGAAACCTGGGCTAGGGGGAGGCTCAGGGGACACCGGGCCCGCTGCTCCCCCTGCGTCTCCCCTTGGGCCCTGCCCCATGGACACCTCAGCACTGAGCACTGTCTTTGGGTGCTTCTTTTGCAGGCAACTCTGGTGCTCTGGGTGATTATCCAAGTGCCTGAGTGCCACGAGGCCATGATCCTTTATTCCGCCCGCCTGTTTGTGGCTCTGCTGTTCCATGTTGTCATCACCACCCAGCAGATGCCACCAGTGGAAGTTGACATCTTCTGGAGAGCATGCCAGGAGGAACACCGCCTTCCCAGCAACCCCAACAGGTGCCAGTCCTCCTGTCCTTCCCATGCCTTTGTAGACACTGCCAGTTTTCCCAGTGTGACCTGGGCTTTGCTCTGCACACAGGTTTGCAGTGCAGGCCATGAAGGCTCTGCTCTGCTGTTTGCACTATGATAGTGAGTTGATGGCTATGGAGCGCAAGCGTGGCTGGGACACGCTGCTCTGTGCTGACACCCAGCACTATGCCGTGGGTCTGTTGGCCAGGTGAGACCCCCTTCTCCCCGCTACCTCCAGCTTTTGTGCCCGGTGCCTGAGGTGTCCCCCACAGTCCCTGTGGTCCTGGGCCAGAGGGTCACTGAGAGACGGCTGAGCAGACTGGAAAAGGCCAGGAGAGGATGCCCAGAAGGAGCCACCTCCCAAAGTACCCACAGTCCCTCCAGGGATGCTGAGGAAAGACCAGACCTCAGTGAGTCATTCCTAGGAGAGGTTTGCCCTCCCCACCTCAGGGTCTTGGTGCCTTTTTCCCCTCTTCCAGGGAGATGCACGGTGCCTCCCTATCCTTATGTTCTGGGATTGCACTCCGCCTGCTCCGGCTGCTCAGCAGGGAGGAGCCATGCTGGGATCTGCCCTTCCTGCCATTCCTTGTGGAGGTGAGCTTGATGGCCAGCACTACCTCACTGACCTGCCTCTCAGCTCTCTGCCCTTGCATAGCCACAGCTGCCTGGGACGGTGCCTGCTCCCTGTGCTGCTGCCTGGACCCAGCCCTGTGTGGTTCCAGGCTCCTGCCAGCTGGGTCCCCTGTCACTGCCCTGTGCCTTTCAGGTCCTGGATTGCCTGGACTTGCGTGAACATGGTGACAGCATCCTGGAGATCATGTCAATGCACCTGCAGAATGAGTGCAGGCAGAGGCGTCGCCTGGCGCTCAGAGGCCTCATGGTGCTCAGCAAGGATCCCTCGATGGTGAGGACAGGGCAGCAGCTGAAGCTGTGCTGGGGAAAGCAGCTCCTTGTGCTGGCTGGGCTTCAGGAGCTGAGGCAGCTGCTCCCAGCTCTCCTGCCTCACCTGCCTGAGTGCTTTGGGACAGCCCTTTGGCCTCTGGGCCCGGCGGCAGCAGAGTGGGGCTGCAGTGCCAGGGCCGTTCATGGCTTCTCATCACAGCCTTGTTTTCCACACAGGCCATAAGAATGTGCAGCCTGTCTCAAAGCCTTCTGGAGCTGCTGGGTGATGCAGACAGAGATGTGCTTGGCATGACCCTCCACGTGTTCACTAATATGCTCAAGACCAAAGACATCCTGATATCCAGTACCACTGCCCCAAAGCTGGCTGAGGCACTCCTGCTGCTCTTTGACCATGTAAGGCTCTGTGCCCCCAGCCACGAGCACTGGCTGCTGTACAAAACTTTGCTTGACAGATATTTGGGCCTTCACCCAGTGAGCCTGGAGTAATTGGTATTAAGTTCTTTTTCTCTTCCTTCAGGACCACAGCCATGTGCAGCTGCTCTCCCTTGACCTCTTCTTCAACATGATGGACTTGGTAATGGATGAGGGAAAAAAGCCTCTGGAGAAGATTTTGAGCCAGAGCCTGATTCCCCTCTTCATCCACTGCTATGATGTGAACCAGCATGTGGCGAAGGTCAGGTTTTGTGTGATGCTGGTGCATCCCTGGGAGGGGCATTGGCTTCCTCATGCCCTAGAACCTCCCAGGCTGCAGCCTCCTCTGGGCCCTGTCACCCAGACAAGAGTCCTGTGCCCTTGGCTGCATTGCCATCTCTGCATCTCTGCTGCTCTCCAGGCCTCTCGGAAAACGCTGATTCGTGTGGCCGAGTTCCTGAAGAGGAGAAATCTCAAGCAGCTGATGAAGAAGGAGCAGCTGTCGAACTTTGCAGAGTGTCTGGTAAGGACAGCCTAGAAGCCCCAGCCTCAGCCTGGAGAAGACCCTTGGCCCCAGCACTCAGTGTGTGGTGCTGGCATCTGTGCCCCTGCCCAGTGCCGCACCCAGGGGCGCCAGCCTGCGCCGCACACACCGCTCCCTTCCCTGGGCCGCACACGTTCTTCTCCAGGCTCCTGTGGCCCCGAGCCGGGTGCCAATGGAGACCTTGGTATGCGGATAGAAAAACTCTATAGCTCACAGAGTAGTTATGAGAGTAGGTATGAATTTATTCAGTGCTGAGGTGCATGGGGGATATCTCCTCCAAAAGCATGCACACCTTGGAGACTTGTTTCTCCCTTTTTATTCTCTACAAACCAGGGTTACACAGTATGCCTAATACATATTCATTTGCTAACCCTGCCTTTCCCCGCTTCATACTAAAATTAGTTCCACGCCTATTTGCAGCTGCACACTGCTCCTTGTTGGTCACTCTGGTGGTCGTCTGGGGGTCTTTAGGGCTGAAGTCAGCAATTTTCCTGCAGCTGAACTTTTCACCTTGTCTTTTTGTGCATGCTCCTTTCAGTTCTTTTGAACCCTCTCTTTCCATTTCTTGTGGCTTAGGGGTCCAAAAGAATCCAAGGAACCCCCCTCATCCTATGGTGCATTTATGCTTGCATCCTGTTTACGTATTCTAGCTCTTTATCTCATCCTGCAGTCTTTATTCTCTTCCTGCTCTTATGGGAGCAGTCAGCATTTCACACGGGTTTTGTAGCCCTTTCTTTTACTCAAGGCAATTTTTATAAATGATTCCTAATTCCTAATTTCTCTGTTTCACCCTGGCCCACTGGGGCTGTGGGCCGGGTCGGCACCGCGGCTCCCCAGGCAGCACCCGGCCCTCTGCCCCCTCCAGAGCCCGGCGCCAGCGGCTGCTGGCCGGGCCTCAGGGCTGGGCGGGCACGGGAGGCCGGGGCTGGCCGCAGGCAGTGCCCGACCGAGGGGCACAGCCCGCGCCAACCCTTCCCTCCTGCCGCTCTCTGCAGCTGGCACAGGACGAGAGGCGAGCAGCTGAGCACCTGCGCCGGGCCCTGCCGTACCTGCAGAGCCCACAGGAGTCCCTGCGAGCGGCGGCCATCAGGTTCATCGGTGAGCCACGAACCTGGCTGGGCTCCCTCCCCGCCCCGCCGCAGCTCGGCCCCAGCCGCGGCTGCTGCCCCGGCAGCGGCACCCGGGCCCGGCGCCCTGGAGCCCCGGCTGCCCTCGGGGCTGCTGCTGCCGGCCTCTGGCAGCCGTGCCCTTGGGCTGAGTCAGGATGCGGCAAGGGCCCGGGCTGAGCCCTGCCGGGGGCGGGAGGGCGTGTGGCCCCAGGGCTGGCAGCGCCGCTGGCAGGGAGCTGTGCCGCTGGGGCCCTGACAGGCTCTGTGTTCCCAGAGACGGTCGAGGTGCCAATGAGGGGGCAGCAGGAA